TAGGCCTCGCTCGGAAGGTCGGCTTCGACGGTGTCCCGGTGCACTTTGACATTAGCAAGTTCTACGAGCGGATCGACCACGGGCTGCTTCTGAACGCGGCCGAGCTTAATGGCTTCTGCACAGGATTGGTACGTGCGCTCTGTGTGGCGTACTCGGGTCCGAGGAGAGCTACGGCAGACAGCGCCGTCAGCGAGGAGATACATGCGAGGGGCGCGGTCATAGCTGGTTGCTCGTGTGCAACAACGATGGCCAGACTCATGCTGATGGACCTTCTTGTCAAGAGCCGAGCCAATCTCCCCATCGGGAGGGTCGTCAACGTGATTGACGACGTCTCGGGCAATGGTATCGGACCCAGAGGCGTGCTAGTCAGTCAGGTGAACAGCTTCGCCCAGGGCGTCGTGGCGATGCTGAGAGACAAGCGGCTCCCGATCAACTGGGGCAAGACGGAAGCGCTGGCATCCTCAGTGGACACCCAGCGCGAGCTGATGAAGCAGGAGGGGTGGCCGCTGGACAGGGCCGCCGTTGCTCAAGGACACCGAGATCTCGGTGGTGACGCGACGGCTGGCGGTCACCGTATGGTGGCGACGCAGGTCAAGCGGGAGCTGGATGCACTCCGTCAGGCAGCGAGACTGACACGCATCTTCGGGCCTGGGCTGCGGCAAGCTCGGGTGATGCGAGCTGGGCCGACCGCCAAGGCGCTCTGGGGCTCGGCCATCTCTGGAGTCCCACCTGGGCGCATGAGGGCGCTGAGGGTGGCAGCTGCGAAGAGCGCGGGTCGCCTGCCGCCTGGAGCGGCCCTCAGCTTTGCCCTGCAGTGTGCGCCCCGCGGCTGGCGGCAGGACCCGCTGGTGGTCGCAGCGGGAATGGCAGCGCAGGCATTCGTCAACGTGGTGTTGTCTGGGCAAGCCTCTGCATCAGCCATCCAAGCGTGCATCCAAGAAAGCCAGCAGGTGCTAAGCAAGCAGCGGCCTTGGAGCTCGGTCCGTCAGCCGATAGCGGCGCTCACGCTCATTCTGCAGAGGATAGGCTGGCAGCTCGCCGTCGACGGCACCAAGCTGCTGGACGAGGACAAGAGGGAGTTCGAGGTGCTTCATTTCTCGCCCGCGTTCCTGGCGGAGTGGGCCAGAGAGGCCACGAGGAAAGCGGCCGCGCTGGAGGAGGCTCGAGATCGTCCTGGATCGCTCTGGCCAAGGAAGCTGCCGCCACAGTGGAGGCCAGTCAACGAGCTGCTCGGCAAGAAGGAGTCGGAGACCTGGACTGGGCACCACAAAGGGTGCCTCCGCTCGCTCGTCTCGCTCTCGCATTGGCCCCAGGACCGTCTTGCGAGGCACTCCTCGGACATCGACCCGATCTGCAAGCTATGCCAGGCTGCAAGAGGAACGATGTTCCACAGGCACCACGTCTGCCCAGCTTGGGAACCTTGGCGGCGTTATAGGCTGCCGTCCGACCTGCAGCGTGCAGCTTGGTTAGTCCACGAGATGGGCCAGCCGTTCGATGAGCTGTTCTGCCAGGGCCTGTTCGTGGATCCCTCCCTGCTGTTGCACCGTCCGTGCTGGCAGCCTCAATGGGAGCGGCTCTCGCATGGTTGGCATGAAGCAGTTGTGGTCGAAGACGGTGCCATGGTTTTCACCGACGGCTCATGTATCCTCGGTGACTTTCCGCGCCTGCGCAGCGCTGGCTGGTCGGTAGTCGTCCTGTCCAAGGAAGGGGCGATCCTTGCAGAGGCGTGGGGAGCTGTGCCCCTAGTCTATGCCCATCGCAGACGGCACGTGCTGGAGAAGACTACGCAGCGGTGGTGGCGCTCACGGAGGCCATTGGCAATTACCAGCTGCTGATCGACTGCAAGGGCACAGTGGACTCGGTGCTCAACCTTGGCAGAGCTCAGGGCCCAACTTCGACCTACGCCCATCTTTGGGCCAGAGTTGGGGACGCCGCGGAAGGTGTTGAAGTCAAGCACATTCCTGCACATCGGTCAGAAGCAGCTGTGGCCAGAGGGGAGCTATCGGCTATCGAGCTCTTCGGCAACCGCTTAGCCGACAAGCGAGCGAAGGAAGGAGCCGCCCTCCACGCCCTTCCAGCCGACGGTGTCCAGCTCCTGGAGGGCTGCTTAGCCAGGGCTCGCGACGCAGCTCGCTTCGCCGCAGAGATCGCGGTCTTCATCGCGGATTCTGGGATGCGAGACTGCTGGCCGACGGAAGCCCTGGACAACGTCAACCTCCAGCCGTACCTCTACCCGTGGAACCTGTCGTGCGAGGACGAGGACTACGACTTGTTGGACGCCTCCACGGCGCAGCGTGGCAGAGGCTCGGCAGCTGCGTCAGCGGCAGCCTTCGCCGCGGCGGCAGCGACCAGCGCAGCGGCCACTGGCGCTGCGGCAGGCGCCGCGGGGGGCGCAGCGGGGCCTGTTCGCAAGCGCCCAGCGGCTGCGCTGAGGGCCGCCTCCGCCCCAGCCGCCCCCATCGCCGCGGGGCCAGGCGAGGAGGGCATTTCTCGTGCTGAGGCAGCGAGCGAGGTGTTTGCCAGAGAGGTTCGGCGCAGGGCGGAGGCCAGGTCGTCAGCAGCGTCCTCTCAGCGCGCCCAGCTAGAGGAGCAGCGCCCGTCACCTGCCCCCACGGCTGGACCAGAGCCATGGGTTGTGCACGGCCACAACATAATGCAGACCAGCGTGGTGAGCAAGCCGAGCGAGGCCATCCTGGTGTGCACGCGCTGCTTCATGTACTGCCACCAGCCGCGGTATGCGCACAGGGGCCTGGCCAAGCCGTGCGTCGGTGGCGATCACAGATCGAGCCAAGGGTCGCGTGCTCAGGCCAGGACTGACTTCGGCAGATTGCGATCGCCAGGCAAGGAGAAGCCGCCGATCGTGATGCTCAAGTCGCCGACGTTGGAGGAGATGCAGCGCTGGCGAAGGTCGCTCAAGGTGGGCGACCTCGACTGGCCCAACCCCCAGGGGGGCGAGCTCCTGGCGGCGGCGCGGGCTGGAGACCCTGGAGGCTCGCCAAGGCCTGCGGCTGCACAGCCTGCGGCGGGGCGTGCTGCTGGCGCGGCTGGGCCTGCGGGCGGAGCGGCGGCGGCTTCGGCGAGCGCCTGGGCGGCCGTGGGCGCGGCGGCGGTGCAGCCCGCGGTGCGCGCGGGCTTGCAGGAGCTCTTCGTGCCCGACCTGGAGGGCGTTCTCCGCGCGCACGGCTTCGCGTCGGCGGACGACGCCCGCGCCCGAGGGCGAGAGGCAGCCCAGGCGCGCGGGGAGCGTGGCCGCGCGCGGGAGCACGGCGCGGCGGCCCCGCGAGCGGCGAGGAGGCAGGGCCGACGCTGGTGAGCCCCCCCTCGGCCGCCGTGGGGCCCTCGGCAGTCCCGCGCCGTTTGCGCGGGCCTGCGGCCTGGCGAGAATTTGTGGCATGACCACGCGGGGGCTCGCGCCCGCTCGAAGAGTAAAAAAAATGCCCGCACCGTAAGTCTCGTCGCCCGTCTGCTGGCAATTGCCCGCGCAGGGTCGCGATGTGGCGTTCTTCGCTGGCCGCCCGCGTAGACCACCGCGTTCCTCCTCGTGGCCCTTTTGAGGTTCGTCGGCTTCTGGACCCTGGGCCCTCTGTCCATGGGTTCCTTTATCCATCGGGGGTGGACAGACTCCCCATCCTGATGCGTCGAGTAGTGAATTTTTGGTTTTCGGTTCTCGAGAGGGCGGCGCGGCCATCGGTTTCCAGATTTGCGGTCGCCAGATGTGGGCCCGAGGTCGTTTTATTGAACCACGCTTTACTAGAGGGGGTTCTGTCCATCCCCGACAGTGCCATCAACAAATTGTCCCTTCCTACGATTCCGCCAGTCGTCCGTAGGACACGGACGAGTCGTTCCTGTGATGCGCGAGGGTGCGCTGTACGATTCCGAGGGAGCTGTTCTTGCGACGGCTGTTCTTAGGACCGCGCGAGTTGTTCTTGTGGTACGTTTGGGTCCCCCTGTGTCAGGACACGGGGCGCCCCCCCCCCCCCCCCCCCTTGGCCCCCTGGCCCAAACGCCGCACCGTGCGTTGTTTGTCTCCGCGCGCCAGCCCGCACGCGCGCCAGGCCTCCGTGGCGGGGCGTGCCCCGTCAGCGTTAGGCCGTGCATGTCCTCCTGCAGGCGGATCTTGGAAGGAAAATAGAAAATAGTTTGAATATCTCCAAACATATCCACAACAGTCGAATACGTGTCCGTATATGGTTTATATACTTGTATCTATATACACTGTATATTTAAAACAAATCTGTTTTAAACCATATTCAAAAATAGTCCAATCATATTCAAAAATATCCACAATAGTCGAATAATCGTCCCCCTATTGTTTCTATATTTGTATATCTATATGCATGTATATTTAAAACAAATCTGTTTTCATACTCCTCCGGTAGAGGGTCGTGCCCGACACAACGTCAGGGGGGCGCCCTCGCCTCGCGGCGCGCCCCTCGACTCACGCCGGCCAGTGGTTCGCGGGGTGTGGCGGGCACCTCGCGATGGCGTTCCGGGAGGGGCCTTGGCCTGCGAGGACCTCACCTGGCCTCGAGTCGGGCGCGCCCCATCTACAGGAGGACTATTCAGCCACAGGCAAAACACAGTCTGGTGACGTTTTTGTTCTACCACTTTTGGGTTGTGTGTGGGGCGTTTTCGGGGGTCTGTGTTTCATTTTTCGCCCAAGCTCCGCCTGCAGGTGGACACGCCCGACCTACACCTAGCCAGTTCGCACGGTGCGGCAGGCACCCCGCGAGGCGTTCCAAGAGCAGCCTCGCCTGCGCGGATCGACGGGGTCGTCGCCGCTTCCTCGGCGGAGGGCGGCGGAGGCCCGCGGAAGCAGAACGAGGCCGCCTCCGCCGGCGGAAGCCGGAGACGGGGCCGGCGGAAGCCGGCGGCAGTAAAACATGCGTCCCCAAGAGGTGGCAGCAGTGTTGGGTTCAGGGTTTCGGGTTCTCCCCCCCGCATGCTATGCTCGCTGGTTTGCCAGGCTGTGGGGCACGGTGCTGAGATCAGGCCGTTGGTTGCTTGTGCTCTTGATTATTGGCTAACCCGCTCCTTCTCTATCCATCTCTCTCGCTCTTCCCATCTTCGCTGACATCGCAGGGTTAAGTCGGGCGTGCCCCTCTGCAGGAGGAATATTCGAAAACAGTCAACCAATTGTATAGGGACGACTTTTTTACTATGTTTGACTATTTGTGAATACGTTTGACTATGTTTAATTGTTCGCCCGAAATCCGCCTGCAAGGGGGCATGCCCGACCTAATGGTAGGGTTCATAGACATGCGGGCTCGTTGTGCTCACCCCTGGCCGCTGCACTTGCTCGTTCGCGCTTCCGTCGCCCTCTCTATCTCCTCCAGTATCCCTCCTGGGCTGACGCTGCCTTCTCTCTGGGCTGGTCCGCAGGGATCGTCGTATAGGGCTTCTGTGCATTATCTCTCATCTCCTCCTCTCCCACGACGCTATCGCATTCAGAGAACTTAGATTGTATTGTCCAGCGTAGTTCTCCGGAGCGCGGGTGAAGTGCTTGGTGGGCGTGTACTAAAGATACCAATAATACCACACGTCGTCCCCACATCCTTCCGCCGCCAACGACTCCTTCCGCTCATCATCCCCCTTCCCTCTTCCCGCGGCAGGCGAACCCATCGCTGCCCCCGCCGTATCAATGGGCGATGTTGTACCATCCACAGCTTTGGGACTTCTTCAACAGGCCACTTTTTCTGAGTTTCAGTTTTCTTCCTGAACGAGTAAGAAGAGGGGGGAGGTAGAGGAGATTGCGGCAGATGATCAATACATCAACATGTGCAGTACAGGACACAAGCACCTTGGGCTTGGCATGAATGTAGAAACAGGCGCCTGGAGCACAGCCAGACGATACGACATGCGTTCTGAAATACGGGATGAAGTGACATGCCGAACACTTCTCGTAGCACCCATTATAGATAGTGCGTGAGGCAGAGGCTGAGAAGGAAGAACAGGGGAGGGTAATGATCATTATAGCTGCAATTCGATGACCGCGGTTCGTGTACGACCCGATTCAATATCTTTGCGCCTGTCCGAGCTCCTGGGTCAGCCGAGCACGTCGATCCCGATCATTGACCTGGCCCCACAATTTTGCATGTCCACCGACGCTGCTCTTAGAGGAATCATGGAGAGTAGGGGGAGCCGGCTCGAGGCAGGCGGAGGGAGGAGGAGGACGAGGAGCAGGAGGACGGCGAAGAGGGAACGGAGAAGTGATGATACTGAAGGCAGAGAGAGAGAGAGAGAAGCATAGAGAGACGAAGAAACCGCCTCGAGCAGGAGTTTCTTCGGGCGCCTTCCTCCTCCTCCTCCTCCTCCTCCTCCTCCTCCTCCTCCTCCTCCTCCTCGGTCAAGGTGCCGCAGGGCCAACGGCGCGCTCACGCTCCGGCGCACGGCCAGGGCGGGTGCGAGACGGCGTGGGCGACACCGCGGGTAACCCCCAAGAGGGCACCGCGCGGCGGCTCGGTGCTGAGCTCTCCGTGCAGAGAGGGCGGCGCGCGGGCGGGTCGCAGCTGTGGCCCGGGGCCGCGGCGCGCAGACGGCGAGGCGCACCGAAGGAGAAAGAGAGAGAGAGAGAGAGAGAACGAGAGAGAGAGAGAGAGAGAGCGAGAACGAAAGCGAGAGAGAGAGAGAGAGACACATATATATACACATATATATATATATACACATGATGTAAATCTAGAAACAGGGACAGCGACAGAGGCAGAGACAAAGAAAGACAAATAGAGAGAGAGAGAGAGAGAAGCAGAGACCCAGCGATGCGGACCGTGCCCGGGGCTGCAGCGGCAAGCGGCTGCCCGCCCCTGCTCCACTTGGGGCCGAGCACAGCCCTAAGAGAGAAAAGAGCCCCCGAGAGCGAAATCCCCACCTTGGCGCCGAAGCGGCTGGACAGTTCTGGGCCTCCCAGATGGGGTCCGAGTGGAGTGGGTCGGAGGATCGCGCCGCATCGCCGATGCACTGGCGATGCATCCGCGATGCGGCTCGATGTGGGGCCTTATTTTCTTCACGCCGGCGTCGCCGATGCATCGCCGACGTCGCCATTGCATGGACGATGCATCGCCGATGCATCGCCGATGTATCGGCGATGCGGCGCGATCCTCCGACCCCGTCTACTCCGACCCCATCCAGGAGGCCTCTAACAGTACAGTCGAGCATCTGTTTAAGAATCGGGGGTGGACAGACCTCCTACCCTGACACGTCGATTAGCGAATTGGCCGTTTTCGGTTTGCGAGAGGGCGTCGCGGCGGTCATTTTTGCGGGTCCAGGTCCGTCGGTTTCTGTCCAAGGCCGTTTTCAATACAGGGACCACCGCCGAAAAAAGCCCCCTCCCGGAAAGCAAGGCCAGCTTTTCTCAACCAACTTAGTTTGTTCAGTTTCTTGAGCATGTTTGCCCTGCCAGCGTTCACAACAGAAAATGGCCCAGGTCTGTTTCAGGAGGCTTCTGGGAAGCTTCCCCAGATGTCTTATTTGAATGTTTTCTTGATCATATTTTCGGTTGTAAGAGTGGGGTTGTGACAGGGCCGACGCGGCCCGCATCTGCGCACCGGAAGGAGACGGGCTGTCGCTTGGGTAGGCCCCCGTTGGCAGGAGGGCGTCGGCAGCCAGCAGTGCCGCACGCAGGGTAACCCCTCCGTGGGTGAGCGCGGCACCGCGGAGCGCATGCCGGGCGTCACGCAGGGCACAAAGCAAGATGTTGGTCTTGAACGGGCCAGCCCACGGGCCACCCCGAGGCCGTGGAGCAAGTCTGCTCGGGGTCTCCCCCCGCGTTCGCCGGGTCGGCCGTGCGCGGTGGCGAGGAAAGGTGCGGCCGACGAATGGCCGCCCGCGCCGCCGGGGCGCGCCGAGGGGGCAGGGTGCGGGCGCCGTGGCTCGCGAGGGCGCGGTGGGGCGCGGCGGTGGGGCCGTGGTCTCGGCATCGCTCGGACGTGTGCTTGTGTTCCCTTCGGCGGGGACCACGGAGGAGCCTCCTGGAGGACTCAGCGAGAAGAAGGCACGCGCGACCTCGAAGAGTGCACGAGGACTGGACGTCCGAGCGGCGGCAAGTGGTGGAGGCGGCCAGAGAGCTGCAGCCCGCGCCGCCGCTCGTGGCCGTGGCGCCCAGCGGTGGCCCGCGGCGCGCCGTCGGGGCGGTCAGCGGGGGCGGCCGGCTGCCGGCGGTGCGCGCCTGGCGGCGGTGCGTTCAACACGCGCGGCAGGGCGCGGCAACAGGGCCACCGATTAGGGTTCAAGTCGGGCCTGTCCCCCTACAGGGGGATTCTCGACGACAAATAGGAAATACCCTACAAAAATAATCCAAACATAGTCCTAAACATAGTCTGGGGACTATTTTTTGCATGTTGTTTGACCTTTTTGGGGCATTTTTGGTGTGTAGGGGGACACGCCCGACATAACATTAGGGGGGGAGGCCGGGGGCACAGCGAAGAGTGCTCGACGGACGTCGGCGCCGTGCGTGGTGTGCTGCTCGCTGGCCACGACGCGCCGCTGACGGCACCACCACCACAGCAGTTTGCTTTTTTCCGGTATTTCGCCTCCGGGTTCCTGTACAAGGCGTCCCTTCGCAAGCACATCGTCTTCGGCACCGCCTGTTTCCGGGGCTTTGCCCCCTCCTGGCCTGGACGTGAGGCCCCTCCCTCTGCCTCCCCCCCCTTTGTTAATTAAAGGTGTGCGCGGCCCGCTTAGCTTCGACCGGAAGAGGTGCGCTCTCGACCCGCGGATCAAAAAAGCTGCTCGCTGGCGGGATGGTGCGGGTCGGTAGGTCTGTGGTGAGGGCTGGCGCCTGGGAGAGGCGGCGGGCCGCGTTCCGTCGACCAGTGCGTGGTGCTTCGCTGGCCGTCGAAGGGGCCAGATCGGTATTGGCCCCTGGGGGCTGGTGGTACGACGTCCTGCGCGGGCGTGGGCGCAGTGGTGGCCAGAATGTCCGCGGGGGCTTCCGAGGTAGGCAGGTGTGTCTGTGACGACGGCGCCTGCGTCGGCAACGTGGGTGAGCGTCGTCTGATTGATTGTGTGAGAAGAAGCAGAGAGAGAGAGAGAGAGAGAAAAAGAGAGACAGCGAGAGGCATCGAGAGACAGAGACAGAGACAGAGACAGATAGAGAGTGAATGGGGGAAGAGAGAGAGAGAGAGATTCAGATTCCTGTGGGCACATGTACAAGTGTGTGTATATATACACACACACTTCTACATGTATGTGTATAGCACCCCGCAGTTGCGAGTAAGAGTGCGGGAGGGGCGCGGGATGGGTCGCGGATGGGTCGCGGGCGGGTCGCGGGGTAGCTCGCGGGTGCGTCGCGGGTGGGTCGCGGGGTGGGTCGCGGGGGGTCGCGGGGGGTCGTGGGCGCGGATGACGACAACTTCAGCAAGCAACAGCGACAAAAAACAAACAACAGGAATCTTAGCCATGGACTCCCACTTCAGCCACGCATCCAGGGACAATGGATGACAATTTGGCCCCTTCGCTCGAATAGGTTATATGTGTGTACGCACGAATGTATATTCAACGCTCGTATACACACATATATATATATGTATGTATACACAAGACTGCTTTGGCGCACTCATCGCAGTCACCGCCGCATGGGTTTTGCAAACCAAGTTTCGGATGGTTGGGTGGGATGGTTGCGCGAACATCGGAGTTGACAACTTCAAGTCTATAACAATCTCCCCCCCCCCCCCGCAATTACCGACCCCCCTCATTCGTATGGCAAATTACGTATGATTCTGCCTCATCGTCCATCGCAAAAAAAAGGTCTCTACCAGCCCTGGCAGGACGGTATCGACACCCTCCCTCATCCCTTGCAAAAAATCATATGCGCGCACATTCGTTTATCAAAAGTCAGAAATGTTCAAAACTACTTCGCAACAGACGGGACGATGTGCACACGCGCGCGTCGTCGCGCGCATGCCTAAATCCCTCGAACCCCTTAGGTTCCGTAAGGGTTTCAAAATCGAGTGTCCCGAAAACGCATTCACACATGGTTTTGCAACAGGAATGCTCAAACACAGCTTGCGTGCGGGCTCTTGCATGTTTCACGCTACTGTGATGCTCGCGCCGGGGTGAGGTTCAGTGGTCGCGCGCTTCTCTTCTCTTCTCCCTCTGGAGAACATCTAAGCGACGGGAGTAACGTAACGATCTTGAAATGTGGCCAACACTGCAGCGGGGTCGCCGTATTTGAACGGTCGAGAACGTGTGTTTTCCCCCGAACGAGCAGACGTGGAAAACCAACGTGATAAATCCTATACGTGAGAAACGATACGCGACAGGGGCGGCGGCAGTCCCGGACAGGATGGGAGGAACGAGGGGGGGTAGTACTCATGTTGGGTCGCTGCTGTCGGGGGGGTGCTGGAGGTGTCCCCGACCCGCCCCGGGGTGCCCCGCGCGCCTCGTGCCAGCCTGGAGGCCCCGAGGCCCTCTGGGTCTCGTGGGGGGTGTGCTCCGCAGGCCCTCTGCGCGTCCTCGGTGGCAGCGGGGGTCACCCCGGGCCAGGGCCGGGCCCCGGGGCCACCTCTGGCAGCACCAGGTGCAGGAGGGGAAAAAACCACACTTTTTTTTACCATCCATAGGGAGCCCAACGGCGAGAACGGGTGACAACAGAGCGCGGAGACGCCGGAAGAGGAGGACGAGGAGGAGGAGGAGGAGGACCGAGGAGGCACAGCAGCGCGCCCCGGCGAGCGCGTGGACTGGCAGCCGCCTAGGGCGACGGCCCCGCGCAACTAATTACATCTAATGAGTCTGGCGCGCCCGGGCGCTCCAGCAGGCGCCGTCGCACAGCCGCCCGCCACGCCGCCTCGCGGCCCCCGGCCCGCGGGGCATCCAGGAGCAGCAGGCCAGCCGCCCGCGGGGGCAGGAGCGGCGCCCATCCGCTGCACGGACGGCACGCGAGGCGCTCCCAGCGCGGGGCCCAGCACCCGCACGCCATGCAGGCCACCCAAGCGGGCCCTTGGGAGGCGACGTGCCTGCGGGGCCGCCGCGGCCACCACCGCAGCGTCGTCCGCCACGCGGGGCACGCGGCGGCGACGATGCCCCGCCTGCGTCCAGCGCCGCCGCACACGCGGGCCTCCAGGGCGGTGCCCGTGGTTAGCCTTGAGCGCCGCGAGCTCCACCGCGGCAAGCACACGCTGTACGGCAGTGAGCGCGACCAGCTGCCGCTCGCGCTCCTGACGCAGCGCCGGCGGAGGCAGCCGGGCCTCGGCAGCCACCCCCGCGAGGCGGTCCGCCGCGGCGTTGCCGGAGCGGTCGTCAGGCGACACGCCCCGTTCCTGCGCCTCCGCGGCGTCAAGGTGCCCCTTGACCCATCTCGCGGCCAGCGCGCCGCTGCGGCAGTGAGGAACGATCAACTCCCACAGGTCAGCGTGGGCCCAGTCCTCGGGGGACGCCCCTGCCCTGATCGCCGCAACGCCGTTGCTGACGAATCGGGAGTCGGTCACTACCTCGACGGCCCCGCCTGCCAGGCTGACGGCATGCACCGCTGCTGTGAGCTCGGCGCGCTGCGCGGTCTGCGCGCCGTCGACCGGCCCATGGTGCTCCTGGCGGCCCGCGCCCTGGTCCAGCACCACTCCCCACCCTGCCCTGGCGAGGAGGGGGTCAGTGGGGTGCGCGCAGCCGCCGTCCGTCCAAGCGCGCGCCCGGGCTGGCTCGGCGGCAGGGGCCGGCAGGGCTGGGCGCGGCAGCGGCCATTGCGCCTGGTCCGCCAGTGCAGCCGCGCGCGGGCCGCGGCGCGCGTGAGGCCCTCAGGGACCAGCGCGGCGGCGCGCGCGGGTTCCCAGCAGGGACACGCCCAGAAGCGGTGCTCGAAGTCGTCGCGAGCCGCGCCGCAGTGCGGGCATGCTGCAGGGCGCCCCCATTTCGCCGCCACCGCCTCCGTGACGACGTTGCCGGCGAGCACGGCGCGGAGGGCCCCGGCGGCGTCGGCCGCCAGTTCCCCGCTTTCGAGGAGCCGCCGGGTGGCCCACCTGTCGACTCCAGCGTCCAAGTGCTGAAAGCCGGCGCGCCGGCTGGCCACCTCGCGGGCCTCGCGGGCCGCCCAAGCCCGGAGGAGCACCGCGCGCGTGTCGGGCAGGGCGCGGTCAGCCGGGCGCCAGCCGCCAGGCGAGGTGGCCACTCCAGTCCAGCACTCGACATCGGCCCCAAGCTGCAGCTCCGCCAAGCTCCGGGTCGCCGCGTCCACTGGGCCAAAGCCGCGGCCGTGCCCCGCAGCCATGGCGCCGGCGGCCCGCCTCCAGAGCTCGGCGGGGAACCGGCGTTTCCGGATGGCTTTGGCGACCTGCCACAGCGGCGCGATGACCGTCACCGCCACCGGATCAAGCCGCCAAGTCGGCGCCAGGACGCCGAACACGATCTCTGCGGCCGCCCGGAAACCGCCCCGGCAGACGGCGTGCCGCGCGGCGGCGCGAAGCCCGGCCAACTCGCGCGCTGGGGGGCGCCCGCAGGCCGCGCCATAGAGGCCCGCGGCAGTGCCCGCGGCGGCCCCCAACAAGCAGCGCTGGCGAAAACTGACGGGCAGCCGGCCGAGTCTGGCAAATCGGCCCTGCGCGACGACCAGCTGGCCAGCGGAGACGGCGCAGCGGCGCGCCCTGCCGGCAGTCGCGATGACCCCGAGGTCCTTGAAATCCGCACACGCCTGGATGCCCGGGGACTGCTCCTTCAGCCATCTTCGCAACGCCTGGCGGCTTGCGAATTGGCGACTTTTCGTCCGGTTGAGCCGCCACCCCATTGCCGTCTCGAAGGCGTCTGTCACGCGCAGCGCCTGCTCGAGCTCCTCCGCCGCCTCGTCAACGCGGTCGTCGGCCACGCGGGCCAAGAGGGTGAAGTCGTCGACATACACCCGTTGGCGAAGCAGCTCGCCCGACCTCGCGGCACGTCGGGCCCAGGGCCGGGCCAGGACACCCAGCACGAATACGGCGAGCGGACAACCTGGCAGCAGGCCGCGCGAAGGCGCCCAGGGCTCCCCGATGGCGCTGTCGACGCGCACCCGGCGGCAGGCTCCGTAAGCGCGCAGGGCTGGGCGAGCGAGCCACGGCGGGACACCCGCCCGCGCCAGCAGAACCAGGAGCGCGCCCAAGTCCACCTGGTCGTACGCCTTGCTCCAATCGAGGGCTGCGCCGACGACCTCCTCGGACAGGGCGTCGGCGGACTCGAGTTCCAAGGCCAACTCCCACGCCTGCTCGTCTGCGCCGCGGCGCCAGGAATCCCCTTCCCAAGCACGGCGCCACTGCGCGAAGAGGCGGGCGCGCCCGGCCGCCCAAAGCCGATGCAGAATCGGAAGGAGCCAGATCGGCCGGCGCTCCAGCGGGCCCTGGCCGCCCCCAGGCTTTGGGGGCAGCAGGCCCTCCGCCTCGGCGAGCTCGCGCGGCCACTCGCCGCGGGCCTCCACCTCCTCGAACAGGTCGGCGATCCATCCGTGCAGCTCGGCAGGCAGCAACCGGAGCTCGCTGACAGCCCAAGCGTCGAGCCCCGGCTTCTTCCGCTTTGGCATCCGCCGCAGCAGCCAGCCGACCATCCCTGCTGTCCATGGGGTCCGGTCGGGGAATGGCGGCAGACCATCGAGCTCCTGCAGCCACTCCTCCGCGACCGGCGGTGCGGGTGGGGCCTGCCAGATCGCCTTCCAGGGCCCCTCGAAGTACCGCAGGCGCGCCGCAGGGCCGCCCTGCAAGGCCAGCAACCACGGGCGGCTGCCAGGAGCTTCTCCGCCAACCCCGCCAGCAGGCACGAGCTCAGCTTCGATGCTACCGCCGCCGCGGATCCAACGATACAGCCGCCCCTGGCGGTTCGCGAGCGAATCCTCCACCCAGCGGTGCCACTCAGTCTGCCGGCGCGATCGCGCCGCCGCGCGCGCCTGCTGCCAGGCCGCTTCAGCGCGCACCACCATCGCCTCGGGGACCGGGGCGTCAAGCTGCAGCGCCGCCATCGCTGGGGCCCAATCCGCACAGGCGGCATCAGCAGAACGGAGCGCCTGAATGGTTGCCGCCGAGGCCTGCCGGGCGGGGGCAGTAGTGCGTCCCAGCGTCATCCGAAGGTTGCGGAGACGCCGGAGCCGCAGCAGCGCCGCGTCCGCAGCAGCGTCGGCGGCCTCCCCTCCCCCGCCCGTGGCGGGAGGGCGCTCGGCGCGCATGGCCGACGCTGCATGGGGGCGCGCCGGGGTGGCCGTGAGGCCCATGCGCCAGGCGAGCCAGAGTCGCATCGCCCCGCCGAGCTGATGCCAAGCCTCGTCAAAGTTGTGGTCCGCAAGTGCCTGCCGGAAGCCCCCCTCGAAGCGGCCCTGAACAGCGGCCGTGGCGACCCGGGCGGTTGTTGGTGACCAGCCCTCACCTGCCGGCCCATCCAACGCTGGCACTGGTTGGCGAAGCCTCGCAGGTGCTGGGGCCTGCACGCGCAGCTCGACGAGCAGGGCCGCGTGCGTCGCCAGCCCGAGGTCCCGCCGCAGGCCTACCGAGCGGACCATGCCCAGCGCGGCGGGGCTCGCCAGTACGTAGTCGATCCGCGAGGGGCTGCCGCTGGAAGGGACGCAAGTAGGCCCGAGCGCGGCCAGCAAATCCCTCCAGCCAGCCAGGCCGAGCAGCGCGTCGAGCCCGACCTCCGACAGGCTGCAGTTGAAGTCTCCAACCATGAAGGCTGGGGCGTCCCCGAGGCCACGGAGCCACTCCAAGCCCTCCAGGATGAGGTCCGCGTTCCGCTCGGAGTCCGGCCGGCCGCCCGCGTACCCATAGCAGTTCATGAAATGAACTGCCCTGGCGCCGCCAAAATGCACGGCGAAATGCTGCAAGCGCCCAGGGTGCCTGCCGGACACCCCCGCCGGCTCGGCTCCGCGAGCCGCGCACACACCTGGTCGACTTGCCGCGGCCAGTAAGGACGTGCCGCTGCTGCACGGCCCCACGTGCAGCTGCATGCCTCGCCCCCGGGCGTCGGCAACCGCAGCATCCGCGTCCGCGGCAGGGATGCGGGCCTCCTGCACGCACCACGCGTCGGCCCCAGCGGCGAGCAGCCCGCGCCAGCTAGCGCTCCAGCGGGTGACGTTCGCCACGAGCACTGTGGCTTCGTTTGCACGGGTGGCCTGTGTTCCAGGCCCTCTGTTGGATTGTAAGACGCGCGCGTGGGGCATCGACAGATTATTGAAACTGTGTGTACACATGTTAATTCCCTAAAAACAATAAGCACACTTCACACTCGTCTTGACCTTGACCGACTTGTGCGATTGCCGAATGGTCAAAGCATCGACTTAAAATCAGAGGGGAGGGAACGGTGGGTTGGGGAGGGGATGAGGGTGGACATTGGGAGGGGTAGTGCGCGCAAAAGCAGAAGGGAGATACGGGCCAGAAGGGAGGGCATCATGATCATTAGAATCCATTCCTCCTCCCTCCCCCTCCTCCTGTCGTCGTCGTCGTCGGCCATTTCATCCAAGGCCCCCCGCCCCCGACTATTCTCCCGTTGTCGTCGGTCCATTATTCCCCCTTCCGTCGTCATTCCCCCTCCCATCCGTAGCCATGTCGGCTCAAGCATTTTGCTTCGGGCCCCAATGGCTGCCTCGAGCAGCCGAGGCGGCGACGAGGATGATCTCGCCCGCCTTGTCGGCGTTGGGCAACGCCGTGTGCGACGGCGCGCGTCGGCCGCTGCCGAGGCCAACCAGCAGGGCGACGCAGCAGCCGAGGAGGCCCAGCCTCGGGAGGCGACACCGCTCCAGCAGATCGTCCCCGCGGATGGCGCTGCGGAGCTGCGCATGCTGATCGCTGTCGGTGGCCGCCCCCACGCTTCAGGTCGGCCTCGCTGGGAAAAAGGCTCCGCGGCGCTGATGGCGCACGTTCGCAGCAGGAAGGAGCTCAAGCGGGCCGAGCATGACCTAGTGGTTGAGGCGAGGAGGTCTGAGAATCTCGAGGGCGCATTGAACTTCGTGGCCGCCTCGTACCCGATGGTGGCCGCCACCGTGGGGCTGCCGCAGGTCAGGCGGCCGATGGACGAGCAGAGAGCAGCAACAATGATACGGCTTGCGATGGCGCCCACGATCAAAGGTGCCATCTCCGCCCGCAATCGGCAAACAGAGGCGGCCATGGTGGCCATGCAAGCTGCGACGGAGCAGCAGGCCGCATGTAGAGATAGGATAGTGATTGGTCGAGTTCTTGGGCTCGCTGGCGCCCCCTCGGGCATCACCGTCGTCACGGGCCAGTGGGGCGAGACCCGACAGCGAGTTCGAGCAGTGCACGCTGGTGCACTACGTGGTGAGTTAGAGTCCCAGCGCAAGGTAGGCGCCGAGATCATGATGCAGATGTGGGCCATGATCACGCACGACGGCCGCGTCGTGCTCGAGAGGCAGCCCTTCTTCTCCAAGGGCCTGCGCCTCGCCTCCCAGACCGCTGATTTCTTGGCGGGGCGGGTCGGGAAGCTAGACAGTGAGAGGGGTCAGTTGCACCGTCTTACCTTCCTCTCTCGTCTCCAACTTCGTCCACGCCTCAGTCGTCGCAGATCGTTTCGGCATCCCTTCATCCCTTTGTGTTCCTCCATGTCCTCGCCCCCCACACCCCATCATCCTCCGCATTCCCCTCATCCTCCCCGTCGCTCTCCAGCCACGTGGCCCATCGCAAGAGTTGTTGCACTTGTTGCCCTCATGCTCAGTGCCTTGTCGCCCGCACCCGTCGGTCCCGCGTTCATGCTATCTCTTTGGCCATTGCACCGTATCGCCCCAATCTCCCTCGCCCGCAGTCTCATCCATCCCCTCCCTCAGCATTGGCCAGTCCCCCGTCCTCCTCCATTCCATACCCCTCTCCTCCTCCCCCTCCCCGCCCCCCCTACCGCCCCGCCTCCGCCTGGCGGCCGTGGGCGACGACGGAGGTGCCCACCCTCCCCCTAGTGCCGCGTGAGGGTTAGGAGAACGGTGAGGAGGCAGAGGAGAAGCGAGAGGGAGGGGGGGGGCAAGAGTTTCCGACGACGGCGATGGCGATGCCCCCCTCTCGCATTCCTGCTCTCCAACCTCTCCTCCTCCTCCTCCTCCCCTCCTCCTCCTCCGCCTGTCTATTTGTTATCATTGCCCCACCTCTGCCTCGCATGGCCAATGGGCAGTGCAGGTTGAGGGTCTTCTTCGCGGTGGCCCCATCAATTTCGAGGACGAGCTCGAGCTGCAGGAGGCCGCTCGAGGCCGCTCTCTGTTGCTGCTCTTGTCTTGTGATCGTGCCAGCGCCAATTTCTCGGCAATGTCTTGGTTATGGGAAGTGCTTGGCCAACAGGGTGCCCCACGGAATGTTCTTCCACATCTTGAGCCTTGCATTCTGCACGGTTTAGCATTGATCAAGGGGGCGCCTGCACACGGGAAGAAGTTGATCGCTAGTTGTCACTCGTTGTGTGCATTTTTACGCCAGTGGAGGCCTTCTTCTCAGGGTGGGAACGCCGCGCGAGCTCCATTGCTCGGCCCTGCTGTGCGCCTCGTGTCGGGCGCGCGCACCTGCCCCCCCCCCCCCCCCCATCGGCAGGCCCCGTTATTCCAGCCTAACTCCCCCAGGGGGGCCGCGTAAAGCGCAGTGATTTGCGCGGCCCTGGTGTCCCTCCCCCATCCCGCTCCCAAAACACACAGAAGCCCCGAAGCTTAGAAACTTAGCTCCGGAATGCGTTTGGGGATACGCGCGGCAGGTGCCGAGCAGGGCCGAGCCATGTTGTTCGCGCGGCGCTCTCGACCCATAGGAACTCCGATGCTCTTCGAAAGGCGATGTTGGTTGTGATCAATCGGAAGTTTGAGATTAGACGGGAGGCGCGCCCAGTTCGCCTTGCCGATCGAGCTCGAGATGTTGTCTTTTGTTCTTGCAAGCCTGATCGCGATATCGAGCCTAGGCCACCGGCTGCGGGATCGAGGCCCCCGCGGGCCCAACGGCCTCGCCAGAATGATTTGGTTTTGGACGACTTGATGAACTTCGTTGACATGGAGGGGCCGAACGGAAAATTGACGCACTGGTGCTTCGTCGAACGGGGGTCGTCGGCTCACAAGGCGGGCAGATCCGTGGGTGATCGGTGTTGCGATCGCGACGGGGAGTCGTTCGACAAAGTGGCAGTTCCGATCCTGAACTACTTGGTGCACCGAGGTGTCGCTCATGCCCCAGAAGGTCGGTGGTTATACCTACTTCGGGTTCTCAAGAAAGTATTTGTCGGCTGCATGTGTGGCAACGTCCTTGCAGAGTCGCTGACTGATTTGAGGGTCAATTGGAATGTCACGGACACAGTCGCAGAAGCTCTGAGCAAACTTATCGTTGCTGATTCAGACAACGTCGGGGCCAAGAACAAACTACATGTCCATCGGATTTGCCAACACTTGTGCACGGAGCATGCTCAATGGCAGCTACTCGTCATGATAAGTGGGATGACAACGATCGAGGTGTGCATATACGACATACTGTATTCTAAGTTGACACTGTCTGAGTTGTTGGGCAGGGAGCATGGTTCTTTCCCCACTATCCAGCGTGACCTTCTTCGCATGATGGAGCGGTATGTGGACGGGGAACAGCTGGCCGAGTTGACTCGTCTAGGCGTCGACTGTGGTGACGACGGCGTGCGGCGATGGACGAAGTCGTATTTATTGCAGCTCTCTGCCTCCACATACGACCACTTCGAGAAGAGATTCGAATCGCCGCCGTACACGCTTCTCGTTCTCGCAGACGGCAGTGCGACCGACGAGGAGAAGCACATGGCCATCAACTCTTTCTTCGCTTGCCCTGACCACTGCCTCTCTATGTTCTGCCTACGGCTGAAGGGGCTGCGTCCGACCCCCGAGGAAATGATCACCAGAGGGGCGGCGATAATGAAGGCCTTCGGCGACGCCGCGCTCCACAGTGTCGGCTTCTGCGAGAGGTCCCGCAACGTTGTGAGACAGGACTTGCGGTCAGATGGGCCAGCCCGCAACTTCGCGACCAGCGTGAACCGCATTTTCTGTAGGCAGGCTCGTGCCGAACATATCCAACGGCGTGGGCATGACCCCGTTCGCCCTCCAACTGCTGAGCCACTAGAAGACACGGTCAAAACTAAAAAGCATAATGGGCCTTCCGCCAGGATCACGTGGCAGAACATACAGCTGAGTATATTCAAGGAGAGGGTTGCGCCAGATCGGAAGTTGACACCACAGGAGCTTGATGGGTTTTACGAACGCTGCAGCGCACGGTGGGCAGAGATGCCCGATCAAGAACGGGTGGAGTGGGAGCTACTCAACAAGGCCGACCGTATTGGGCGACACATACAGGACACCCCGATTGAAGACAGACGAGATTGTGCGTTCACACCTTTGTGGGGCCACGACCTTCCCCACGATACGAGCATCTCGACGCCGATCGACCCGAGCGTGTACGTCAAGTGCCACAACATGTACAAGTCAAACGATCGCCAGAAGCTTGCCCGTCACGATGATGTGAACTACGTGCACACGGCACCCCGACGAGCATCTTTGATGAGCAAGCCTGTCGATGGGACGCTCCCAGTGTGCGGGTGCTTCGCCAAGAAAAGAAGTTTCTGCAGATATGTCGCATCGCCAGCCGTGGTCGAGAGATTCGACGGCTTGCTCCCCGTGCTGAATGGCTTCGTGGACACCTTGGAGAAATCCGTGGCCGATGATGCATCCTGTCTGATTATGTTCCGAGGTAAGTTCAAAGGTGACGTTGACCCAATGCCTCCCCACATCCACGCGTGCGCCCTGCTGTGCACGAGGAGGCTCAGGCCGAAAGTCCAGATTGTTTGCAGATGCCACGTGAAAGAGCATCCAAGCGATGGTGTGTTCGAGCTGCCGAAGCTGCCTGTTGTCTTGAGGCTTCCTACCAAGCAGAGCCTCCAGTCTAGGCACGATAGAACATTCATGATGCAGTCAAGTGAAGACCTTTGCCACGAACTTGCTCGGTTCCACGATCGCAGCTGGACTTTGCACCCGCTGGACTACGTACTTGGGCCTGGCCCGTTGATGGACCACGTGGTGTCCGAGATCCCGAACGAGTTCGTGCTGTCGAAGAAGATCAAGGCTTGCCGAGGAAGCGCCCTCGAGACCGTCATGATGATGGGCGCGGCCAGTCCCGTGTCGGCAGGTGCGTCGCGAGCTTCAGGATCGCAAGCCTTCGCTTCGATGCGTGCCGCCAGGACAACCGCTGGTGGCCGCGTCATCGGCGCGCCCGCCCCGCCTGAGCCTGAGGGCGGTGCGATTGATGACGCCGCGTGGCAGGATCCAGAGGTGGAGCTGCTCCACGGCGTTCGCGACCTCGGCGACGGGTTCGTCCAGGACATCGCCGACGCGATGGAGGAGGCGATCGGCGACAGCGCCATCGCCCAGGCTGGCGACGGCGTCGACGCTGGAGCTGCGCGCGCCGAGGATGGAGAAGGCGACGCCTGCGGCGAGGCGGGGGAGGCGGCCGCGCTTGAGTTGGCATCGGCCCTCCCGCCTGAGGCCGCGCCAGTGTGGCCGTCCGCCGAGGCAGCGACAGCCATTGCAATTGTAGACAAGGGCTCTGGGTACATCACTTGCGAGGCGCCGCCATGGTGCGACTTTGGCATGGTGGGCCGATTGCAATCTTGGCCCGTGTCAAAGCCAGAGCAGCAGCGGTCATTCAAAATGTACTGTTGCGTACATGGCACGAGATGTTTCACGCCTCCTGTCACTTGGAGGCGTGCTCCACCACAGAAGATGTTGGAGTGGCTGTTGAATTCAAACCTTTTTCCCCGCTGCCGACGCCACGCAGGAGCACGTGGCCGAGCTGTGCAAGCAACACAAACAATTGTTCGACGAGCAATTTCCCAAACTGAGGAGATGAAAACGCCACGTGTCTGATGTGATTTCGGTTGTCCGTGGCCCACAGCCCATTGGGCGCGCGAGGTCGCTAACGCGCCCTCGGCGTTGCTGGCGCATGCCAGCCAATGCTTTGCAACAACATTCATGCCCCCTCCTCCGCTTCCCCCCGCCTCCGCCCCCGCAAGCAGACTGGTGTTCTGGGGGCGCGAAGATACAATCGGCCAGGCAGTGCGCTAGCAAGATAATCGTGACAGCGTCTGTTGGCATCCATTGCGCTTCGTTGCTTCGTGGCCCGTTCCTCGAGTCTCGCGGCCCTCGAGCCCCGTGGCCCCTCGTGGGCCCTGCCGCGGGCAGCGAGGTCCTGCGAAGCCACATTAGGGTGGAGTGGGAGGATAGGGGCGGCAGTACGGTGGACGATGGAAGGAAGGGGGATGGAGGTTGGCAACCAAGGTGGAGCTACCGACGAGGAGGAATATGAGCTTAAGAGAAACAGGACAGGGGAGGCAGGAGAGGTGGCGAGGATGCAGGAAGGGTGAGAACGCTACCACACATGATCGCCCGCTTCTGCAGGTCTGCTTTCTTGAAGCGCCACTCTCTCTGACGAGCGGGTGGCAGGGGGTTGGGAGAGAGAGAGAGAGAGAGAGAGAGAGAGAGAGAGAGAGAGGGAGAGTAAGACAGAGAGAAAGAGAGAGAGCCCCGCCGCGGCACTGTCGCGCCCGCATCGGCGTGTACATCAATGTGGCAGGCGCGCCCTGCTCTCTCCCCGGCCTCTCTTGATTTGTGATATGGTTGACGATCGGTCTCGTGTAGCTTAGGGGGTGTAGCTCGAGGGGCCAGGTTAGCTCAAACGAAGACCTCTTGTGTAACCTAGGGTGTGTGTGGCCCACGGGGGTGTGACAAGGCGCTGGACTTACATCGATCGGTGAGCGTGTCGAGTACACTCCTGCACCCTCAACCCTGTTCCCCCCGTTGCCAGATGCCAAGTAGTAGTGGAAGCGTGTCGTGCCACGTCGGTCGTCCTGACTTCTCATCTGCCTCCCCCTGCACATGCCGCGCCCTTCTATACCTCGCAGTCGCTCGGTTCGAGCATCCTCCGAAATCCGTGGCGCCGTGCGTTGCCCATGCCACCGTGCCCTTCGAAGATCTGGTTAGCGGCGTCGGTTGGCAGCTCAACTTTCTTGAGGGGGTCGCTCTGGCCATCCCTTTGGTAGCCAGGGCAGCTTCGGCCCCTGCCTATTCACCCCGAGGACTCCTCCTGCGAGGGGGCAGCGCGGGGCGGGGGGGGAGCAGTATGTCGGCCCCCCCCTCGGCTAGGTTCGTGGGCGCCCGAGTTGCGACGGCCCGCCCACCCCCCCTCTACAGATTTACGTCTGAACAGTAGAAGTCGGTTTCTCCCACGTCTACAGATTGTCTGTCGATGTGTAGAAGTGTCGTGTGTCGCTTCTACACATTGTCTGTGTAAGTGTAGAAGTGCAGTGGGTGGTGGTTACACACATTAGTGTCTGATCTGTAGAAGGGGGGTGGGCGATGTGTAGATTTCGTCGGCTGCGAAGGCCTGTGGTGTGGACGCGTGGCCTACGCGGCCACGCTTACGTGCCCAATGGTTCCAGGGGGGGATTATTGGCTGGCCGCCCAGAGTAGTGCCGGGTGGAGATTTTTGGCCGTCCACACGGTTGTGCATTTACTGTTTGCTGGTGCGCGCCCCCTGCCCCCAATGCGCAATGCTTCTTCTGCTGCCTCGCACTTGTAGGCCATTTTTGGCTCCAGTCTTGTTTGGTTGGCAGAGACAACTTCGGCCCCTCGTGTCTCGGCCTGCTCCGCCGAAGCATGGGGGCCATGAGAGAGCTCGATGCTGCCGTCTCGTCCTCGGCGGTGCAGACTCCGTGCAAGAGGGAGTCCGTGGAGGACCTAAGGGGAGGTTCCATGACCCCATCGGCTGAGGAGGAGGAGGAGGAAAGGATTGCCATGAGGAGAGGCACGGTGAAACGCGTCGTGAGGGATGGGTCTGGAGGAGGAGCAAGACGACGAGGAGGAAGAGGAAGGCGAGGGTCCCTGTCGCCCTTATTTGGATTTCGGTAGCTCATTTAGTCCTTGCCCACTGCCCCACGGCCCCCTTCCACCCGCGTGGAGCGAGGCGCGATGGGGGGGCAACAGTGGGGGGTTCGTGGAGGGAGGGATGGGGGTGAAAAGAAATTGGGGTGGGAGAGGGGTCTGAGAGGAGAGGAGTTTTTTGTTGCTAGTAACTGCATCCAACAGGACTCGTCAGGACACTGGCTCGCGGCGAAACGCCGTCGCCAACCTGGAGGAGTGGCGGCTAGCCCCGCGGCGTCGTCGGGCAACTTCAGCACGCCCATGAAGGACCGCATCTCCGACGTGAAGGATGACGTGGACGGCGACGCCAAGTCAATGGTGAGTGACCTATCTTGCGGAGGCTCGGCATCGGCCTGCAAGGAAAAGGATCCGTGCTTGGGCTGCAAGCGGGTCTTCGGCGTTAGCCGTTGCTACTTCAATCCAGCTGAACCAGTTCCTTGGGGTCTGCCTGCGGGCAGAGGGGCTTGGTGCAAAGATTGCCACACGTGCTGGAGGACAGTATACCGTGAGGAGTACACTTTACCAGTCTTCGGTGATTGGATGACTCGGCACAGGGACTCATGGGAGAAGAGCTCGCTCGCGTATCTCTCCCTCAAGTTCGAGAAGTATGATAAGATCACAGCTGGAATGGTCAAAGACAGAGTGAGGGTACTAAACTTCGTTAGCAATCTGATCGGGGTCCCGTTGACACCGTTCGTCGTGATCTCCTTGAAGGACGCTGTGGCGAAGGCTGCCGCAAGGGACGGGAGGCTCGACCCTGCGAGTCTCGTCGCGATCTTCCATGGCTCCTCTCCCCAGCTCGGCGCGTTTGCACCTGCATGCCCTGGCACCTTGGAGATCAAGCGCCCCTCTGGGGACGCCTCGGAGACGGAGGTGATGGCGTCGAGGTCGACACTTGCTTGCTCAGAGGGGGATTTGGAGATGATGAACTGCTACTTCGGGGGCCACGAGAGCGTTTCGAGGACGACGCCCGACGCTTTGGCCTTGGCGCCCTTGCCGACACCCAGGGGTCAGGAGCCCGAGCGGCCTCCCCGCGCGAAGATGCAGACCAAGGTCGACGGCCTCGTTTGTGCGGTGCAGGCCGTTGTCGCGAAGTTCCAGACTGAGACGTGGGAGGACGTCAAGGAATCTGCATTCACGAAGCACATTACTTCGCTGAGCTTGGCCAGGAACGGGGCCGCCAGCATCGGGGACAAAGACGGATCAGAACTCTCTGAGCATTGGGCGGCTGGTCTCACGGCCGTGAAGACGTTTGTCAAGATGCACAAGGGCTTCATCAAGACGAGCAGGAAGCACGGCAAATTGGTTACACTATACGACTCCATGTACAAGGCCGTTGAGTTCTTCAGAGATATTGGCATCGGGCCTAGCCTCTATCCGACATTCAAGATTCTCTGGCACGCTACCGTGTTTTTCGACAACCTCAACAGGCAAGCGAAGACAGTGGACGCAGCCTTGCAAGCAACGGTCGACTACGGGCTGAAGGCGACCTTCGCGGCCTTGTCCACGGTGCGCAAGGACTTCTCGTTCAACGAGTGGATGCTGAATATGTTGGTGAGGGCGTTCGCCGAGACCCTCGAGCGGGCCAGGTGCGACGATGGTCAACTTCGCGAGACCGTTGGGCAGATCTTGGAGCGCGTGTCGGTGACGATTGATATTCTCCACCCCGCCTTCATGTCGTTCCTCAGCGACGCGATCGACAAACTCAGACACTACCAGGCGCTCCTGACCGCAGCGGTGGAGCCAGAGAAGGTGTCAGCCAAGAGCGTCTCCGATGCGATCGACTGCGTCGAGAGTTCCAAGAGCATGGTCCTTCTGAAGAACCAGATGCATTTCTCGACCCTTGGATCCCACGTCTTGGCAGAGGCGAGTGCGATCTAGGCGGTCACCGCCAAGGACCACCTGGGCGACCAGAAGCTCCAGCGCGCCATGGCCATTGTCCAGGACGATAGCAAAGAGTTGCCGAGCCTCGTGCAGACCGAGGAGCCTGAGGGCGGCATCCTCACCACGGTGCTACGGGTTGACTTGATGAAAACGGGTTCCTGCTTCAGCAGCCTCGGCGACAGCGTCGAGCACGCGCAGGAGGCCATCGAGTTGTGGGAGCGTCGTCGGCTGGAGGAGCAGTCCCCCGAGATTGGCAGGTGGATGGTCAAGTTGGTGCACCACCTGTCCTTGTACGATTTGGTCTTCTCGGTCCGCATGGTGTCCTTCTACGGTAGCACGCTGGGCAGCTCCAGCGCATTGGCAGTTGAGCCCAACGACGGCGCGGCCAGTGGCGTCAACGCCTCAGCTTGGTCCGTCGGTGCGCGATCCTTCCTCGAGACCGTGTGGGACGAGACCTGCTTCGGGGTGAATGTCGAGCACGTGCTGCGAATCGTTGGCCAGTTCTCGGACTCGATGAGGGCTGCGGAGCCGTCGTTGGTAGACCTATCGAAAGTGGTCCAGCGCATCAGCGAGAACATCACGACCCGTGCGAACCTGGTGTCCCTCATCAAATGCATCGCTGGTTTCGGCAGGACCTCGACGCCGATCGATGCCGTGAACGAGTGGGGGGCCGTTGCCAGCGGTGAACACGAGAGCTCCTCAGTCCTCGCCAAGGCAGTGGCACTCATATCCTTGTCCAAGCAGGTTGTGGGCACTTCCCTCGAATCGTTCATTTATTTCAGGGACGAGGGCGACTTCTGCATCGACGGCATCGCTGGAGTTGCAGGGGAAAGCGGCACCAAGCTGCGCGTGTCGCCCGCTCTTGTAACAAAGTTCGTGTCCAACGTGCTGAGCGGCGATCTCGTGACCTACGCGAGCGGCTTGGTGGTGGCATCCTGGGACATCGCGGTGGATAGGTTCATCACGTCGGTCTCACTGCATAACATCGAGTTTGACAAGCTTGGTAAAGGCAGCCTGAGCGAGCCGCTCGCGCACGACAACTTCTACGCCAAGGCGTTCTTCGACAACATGCAACCTGCCATGGGGAAGATTCTGTCGCAACCTATGGGTGCATGGCCGTGCGATGACATGCGCGGCGCCGTGCTTCGGCTGGCTGGCGTGTGCGTTAACGAGGACAACCAGATAGAGATCAAGGTACCCAGTGGCGCTGACGACCTGGTCTCGGCGGTGCTCCCGCTGGACGTCTTCTCTAGTCTCTCGATGCTGTGGTCGGACTGCCACAAGATCGCAGCGTGCTTCGGTCGGCTTGGCGACCGTTTCCTGAAGTCTGCCGACGCAGGCGGCCGTTCCGACAGCGTTGCTAAGGACGGCGACATCAAGCCAGATGTAAGCGCTGCAATCATGGCATTGCGCGATGCAATTACGGAAGGCATTGAGCATGCGGAGAGGTTGGCTGGCGCGAGTGAGGAGATCAAACAATTATGCTGGCCTGGCCTCTCGACCCTTACCAACTTCCTGGACCAGTCCACCCACACGACTGAGACGTGTTCATGAAGTACCTGGAGGTGGTCAACTCGGAGGCCATGGAGCTGCAGGAGGTGACGCCCCCGACGTCGCACATCGTATTCGAGCACCGCATCAACGCCGCGGCCGCCAAGTCGCAGCTCGTGAAGTTCGTGAACCGCGATCTCTTGAACAACAAGGTGCTGAGCGTGTACACGATGCTGGACAAGATCGGCTACCTCCACAAGAACTGGTGCCTCAGCCCTCCGATCACCGAGGACCAGCAGATCAAGGACAGCGTCGACACGATCGAGAGTATTTGGACCTCCGCGCGCAAGGCGGTGACTACCATCGCTGCGCTGGGGCTGGTGTACGATAAGAAAAGCAAGCAGCGCCAGGACGACGCTCAGTTCATCCTGGGTTCCAAGAAGGGTGACTTGGCGAAGTCGCTGGTCAACGAGCTGGAAGCCATCGTCAGTGGCGCAAGGTAGGTGCGGTTGACGGTCACTCGCAGTGTTGCACAGACCGCAGCACGCAACGCACGCATGCACGCCCACGCCGACCAGAGTTAGAATATCAAGATTTGCGCAGGCTATGTTTGTAGAGTCGCTCGGGGTGCAGTGCGGTTCCACGTACGTTTGAGAGCTGGCGTCTGAGCCCAGCTGGGGAGGAACCCACTTGCAAAATAGAATTGAAAATGCCATGATACTATGTGTGTATTGGTTGCCTTACATATCTCTGAACTCTCACTGTGTCGGCTTTGTTATTGCTGCTCGAGCGTGCGTGTGAAGTCACATCTGATCGAGCGTATCCTTCGCACGTCTGCGCGCGTGTTCTCGCGACTGTGGCGCGAGGTAGGGGGTGGCTTGATATGAAGGTGCTGGCCAGTACATCGAGCACAGGGGTGGGGGCGAGCGAACTGGAGGGGGAGGGCTGGGGGAAACAGAACATAAGAAACAGCAAACAAACATTACGAGAAAAAACGAAAAAGGAGTAGAGCGACGGGGAGGCGATGTACGAGGGGGCACGGGGGAGGGAGCAAAGATGGGCAAGAAGAGGCGGAAGGACGACTTCAAGACAATCGGTAACGACGGCCTCTAGTTGATGCAACCTTTGGCGTCATTGTCGTCGCCGCCGTCGCCGCGGCCGCGACGGGCCGTCGCCGCCGTCGGCGTCGCTGCCGCGTTGCCGCCGCCGTCGTCGGTGGTCGTCGCCGTCGGTGGAGGAAGTGGATGGGGCAGGGGCGGCAAGGGCACGGGAGCGCGGGCGGGACACGAGGGGGGGTTGACGGTTGAGGAGGGGGGGAGGGGGTGAGGATTCGGAGAGATACGGCACGCGGAGAATGACCAATAGGATGTAAAAAGAGAGAGGTTGAGGACGTTTCCCCCGAGCCCCTCCCCTCAGGACATCACCCCGTGACCCCGCGCCCCCCCCCCAAAGGCCATCACCGATCCCCCTTGGCTACTAGGTAACAAGGGGAGCTCGGCGTTGCACGTTTAGTTGGTAATAGGTCGTAGTAGCCATAAGCTTCAGTGAATGACATGTTGTGGACTGTTCGAAGGACCCACCGATGCTCAACGAGCGCGTGTGCTGAACACGCAAGGGGGGGACTCATCAACCCATGTTATGTGGCCTCCACGTGCTCTCACTGTGGCCAACCGAACGCCTGTCAAGGTAACAGGAGAGCGCATGTCGCTACCCGTCCTGTGACCGTTCAGATGCCCCCAATGGTCATCAACGAAAACTTGTGAAACTCACGGGGGGGATGGGGGATGGTGCCCCATTCCCGCGTGGCCATTCGCGCGTTTTCACGGACACCCGCCCAACTTTTGTGACGGCCCAAAGCAACCTTGCATGTGATATAGCAAGCCACCGCCCACACATAAAACCGACGGGCTCGTTTGACGGCCTTCTTGGGTTCCTTGTTTGGCGGCCACGTGGGAGTTGGTTGGCGATGTGCCTGGCAATTCGTAATTCGCGTGGGTAACTCCACGGGGGTCCTGGGGGGGGGGGCGCGAGTTTTCCAAGATGGGCTCAGGCGGTGTTGTGCTAAGCCCGAGGTTTATATGTTACTGTTGGCGGCCTCTGGGAGCCCACTGGGGTCTCTCCTGGAGACTTATTGGGGGCCCTTGGTGGCCCTATCTAAGTCGCTTCGTTTTTGTGGCGGTATCGGACGGGGTCCCGAGGAAAGCGGCACGGGCCCCCCAAGAGAACCCAAGATGAACCATATCAAACTCGCGGTTTGGTATGGCACCTCCTGAGCTTGCCCCCCTCCCACCCTCCTCTTGGGTTCCGAGTGGCCCCTGAAACTTGGGCGATAACTTATTGGCAGCGGTGCGTGTCCCAAGCTCCGAAATTGCAGCGCCATGCCCCCGACAAGGCCCCGACAAGGTTTCAACGCGGAGGGGCGCCATGGATTGTGATGGACGCAGACAGAGAAGGGGGGAACAAGGCAGGGAGGGGAAGGGCGCAGGGGGGGGGAGGAGAAGAGGAGGACGACGCGGTGGAGGCATATAATGACTAGGAGTAGGTTGACCAGGGTTATGAGCGAGGATGATGGGCAAGAAACGGGCGAGGATTGTTTGGGGGGTAGGGTATGAGGAGGCGGAGGAGGATTATGTTTTGTGTTGCGCAATCGCATTCCACGCCTTGAAAACAGTGGCCATCGCTTAGTGCGGCCCTGCGGCGCGGACCGACAATCATCAGGATCGACAGGGGGCCCGACGTGGGATTCGGAAACAAGCGCCACTGTGTAACCGAGTCGCCAAATGTGCCGCGCATGGATCGTCGCGGCCACAGCGGTTAGGCACGGATGCTCTGGCGGGGAGGTGCCGAGGCGACGAGCACGGCGAAAGCCGACGTTTGCGTCTGTGCCCCCCTTGCCAGTTAGATTGGTCTCGCATATTCAGAGCTAGCGTTCTTTACTCCCACACTGTCCCTCTCAATTCGTTAAATTTGACGTATTAAGGAACAGAAGTCTACACTTATGCTTTTCTGTAGACAGCTCGCCCTGGGTCTGGGGCATCTGAACAGCCCGAGGGGGGTCGTGCAAACGAAACTGTGGCGGTCAGCGGCGGCTGCTGGGCCGAGGGCCCGGGCTGCGACGCCTCGCCCACACGGACGCCTCGCCACGGCCACCCACGCCATCGGGCCGTCGCACTGCGCCCAGCCACGCTCAGGCACCACCGCCAGCCGCGCCCCGCTCGGCACTCCGCGAGCGCCGTCGCCTGGCCGGGCTGGCCGGCGGCGTCGAGGAGGCTCGCGGCCGGCCCATGCACTCCCGGAGCGTGACCTGCCGCCTGGCTTCCGCAGCGTGGTGGGCTGCAGCCAGGTCGCGCCAATTCCTTGGCGCGCCGCCGCCGCCCTCCGTAGCGCCGGAGGCGCCGGTCCCCGGCGGCAAGCCGCCAGGAATAGCAGCCACCGCAGCGCCCAAGCCCCCCGGCGGCACAGCAGCGGCGATGGCACCGGCTGGCGGCGGAGCGACGGGAGCAGCGGGAGCGCCAGCGTGTGCGGCCCCAGCGACGGCGGGGGCAGCGGCATGCACGGAGGCGGCGGGCGCTGCCGCGGCCGCCGCCGCACCAGCGGCAGGGGCCCCCGCACCGGCCCCACGCACCGCGGCAGCAACCAGCGCGCGGAGATGCTCGACGAGCGCCGCGGCCTCGCCTCCGGCGCCTCCGGCGCCTCCGGCGCCGCCTCCATGCGGCAGCAACCTGGAAGTCGCGGCCGCCAGCGTGTCGAAAGCTGCGGCGACCCCAGCCTCGGAGAGGTCCGCAGCCGGAGGTGCACGTGCAGGAGCCGCCTCCGCCTGCACCGCCATCAGCGCAGCATCGGCCTGGCGCAATGCCTCCTGCGCCTTGGCCGCCTCGGCCTCGAAGTGCATGACGGCACGATGCGCCTGCATCAAGTCCTCGCTGATCGACTTGAGCTTGGACGCCGCTGCCTTCTGCGAGTCCGTGGCGGCCTGGACGCGGACCGCCCAAGGCCGCGATGCCTGGGCAGCTTGCTCCAAGGCGTGGATCTGCCGGTCGCACTCCGACACATCCGCCGCCGCCCCATAGCGCTGGGCTGCCGTACGCCGGTCGCGCCAGTACCGGAGCTCCTTCTGCGCGGTGCTCAGCTCGGCCACCGAGGCGTCCGGCGAGCTGCCAGGCTCCGAGGGCGGCATCGGCACATCGCCAGGCGGCGCCGCAGACCCCGGGGGCGAAGGCAACATGCGCTGCACCACGGCCGCGTAGGAGTCCTCGCCATGCGGTTGTCCACCACCACCGCGCTGGCGGTGCTGTCCAGCAGGCACGTCCGGCCTGGCCGTGTCCCGCTTGCGTGGCGGCTTCTTCGCAGCCGCCCGGGCGGCAGCTGCGATCCGCTGCGGCGCAGGCTTGCCGCAGCGCTGGCAGCGCACGCGACACGCCCAGTTGGCCGCGTGCCCGCACGGGCATCCCCAGCATGGCTCCCGTGGCCCTGGGAGCACCGCTGGGTCCGCCCCGCCAGCAGCCTGCGGGCGGCCGCCGCCGCCGCCGCCGCCTCGAGCGCCCCGCATCCGACAACGCGCGCGGATTACCCTACGCGCGGGCCCGGGGCCCAATCGGGAATTTAAGGGGGTACAGCTCCTGAGCTCCTTGAGCCAAAATGGCTTGAGCCAAAATGGCTACGGAGGGGGAAAAAACCACACAGACACAATGAATCGTCGACCCCCCAGAAAATATGGGAGAATATGGGAAGTGGGGGGGAAGACAAAAAGCCAGAAAATATTGGAGAATATAGGGGAATCCTCTTATTTGTGTGTATTTACTTGTGTGTCCCAAGGCCCCTTCAGTCTTGCCTTCCAGCTTAGAGCACCGAGAGGGATGTGCCCCTCTGCGATTGCCCCCGCTCCCCCCCCCCCCCCGGCGTAGCGATCTGCATGTCCGTTGGGTTCGCTCTTCGGGTGGGGACGAGGGGAGGGGAAGCCGAGTCGAACGATGAGGGGGGAGGAGGAAGCTGACGGGGGGAGGAGGGAGAGGACGGAGATGATGGAGATGATGAAGAATGGAGGAAATAATACGAAGAAAAATATCGAAGAGGGGGGAGGAGGAGGAGGAGGAGGAGGAGGAGGAGGAGGAGGAGGAGGAATGATAAAGGTGGAGGAAGGAGGACCCGGAAAAACATATCGGAGCGGCCTGCCTGCCAGCTTCGAGCACCCGGAGGAGGTGCCCATCCGCGGCTGCTCGCTCGCCTACCTCGTCGAGCTGCTGGGCCGCTACGGCTACGACTTTGTCGCCTTCGGAGGACCCCTCCTCGCTATGTTTTTACTCGTGTATGGCGTTGACCAGGGCGCGGTGTAGCATTTCTGCCCCGAGGTTTTCTGGATTTCCTCGAGGTCGTCGTGGTGCTCATGCTGGCCACGCCCGCTTAGAGTTGATTGCATCGCTGATGGCACAAAGCCTTCGGAGGACCCAGCGGCCTGACAGGAGTGCAGATCTTGTGATGCATGGCCAGGGCAGGGGCTCTGCGATGCCGTTGGCAAGGCTCAGGTTAGCGCGCAGGCAGCTTCCCCGGCCCCCGGCTGTTCTCAGCACGCCCAAACCCACACCCCCACGGGTCGTGTGCGGCACACGCCGCAGATGCAGGAGCGGCAGAAAGAACGTCCCCATGCACGGTTCATCACGTTTCGAGACATCGCACCCCGCGTGTGCGCGTGGCATTTGGAAGGGGTTGCGCACTGGCTTCGAAGTTCTCGCCGCTTGGCCCCGTTTTCAACAAGACTTGGGTGGAGAGATTGCAGATGCCGCGTTTGCGCTCGGTTACGTGTCCCTGAATGCACCCCAACGGGTGTTCGAAAACCGCGCCTTTGGGTGGTTTGTCGTCATTGTGTCCTTCTGTCTCGCTTCCCTTGTGCCTTCTCTCGGTCGCTGATGTGGTGTTGTGTGATAGTTTGCGCATACATGTGAGTTCTCATTCAGTGCGTTCCTGTGTTTGTGATTGTATGCGCTGCGAGTCTCAGATTTAAGAAACGCGCTATCACTGTATTTGTATGCCCCTTTTGTTCAGGCCATTGCAGCTGGTTTCCAGCAGAGCCTCATCTGTGTTTGGAAGCCTCCGTTTCGGCGTCCATGTGTTGTTTATGCGTTGGCCCCTGTTATATGAATTGTCCGGCGTATTTGTCGCATGATCGGTTTTGCAAGTTTCGATGCAAATCGTTTCGGCCGATCTTTAGCACCATCGCTTTATCCCCGGCTTGTATGTTGCGTTTCTTTCTCCCGGGCAGAACGTTCAGACGACGCGCGGCAGGGGAGGCACATGGGAGGGAATGCCGGCGACGATAGATCACCAGTGGGATGTAGGTTGGCAGCCCGCCCGCGTGTAACCCGACCAGGGGGGAGAAGGAAACAGCGGAGGATTGGAGAGAAATCGGTCGGAGGAGCAGAGAATGTGGAGGAGGATGAGGAGGACGAGGAGCCTTCGGCCCTCGTCGGGCCTCCCTGGCCCTCGTTTTTTGCCTTGGCCTCTGGAGGCCCTCCTGAGGTAATCTGTGCGCGGCCGCGGCGGGCCCGCCGCCGCGCCGCCGATGCGGCAAAGACCGCTACGGCTGCGCCTCCGCGCGGAGGCACAGAGCCGCGCTCGAAAGGCTCGAAAGGACGATGAGGCCTCTGCGGGATGCGCCGCGCCGTGCGATCGGCCGGAGGGGCGGCTGCCGCCCGGTGGCCGACCGGGGCGCCACGGCCCGCGGTCGGACACTGTCGAAGCGCTCCAGCTTGCCCATGGGACCCCCAAGGAACGTTCTTGGAACATTTCTGGCTGAGACTGTCCTGTTTTAACGCATTGGTTTGATTTCTAAGAGCATTGCTCATGCTCTTAGAGCACGTCTCGGTTCTAAGATCACCTCGTACAAAGAATGCCGGGCCGGTCGGTCCCTGCTCAACACGGGGGCGGGCGGCGGCGAGAAGGCGACGGCGGGCTGGGCGCTCCCAAGAAGGCTTCGTCTTCGAGGAGCTGAGAGTGTGAGCTTCCCGAGGAGGAAGAGGTACCCATACCACTACCCTGCGCACGCGTTCCCCAGGTTGGGCCTCCTGGGAGGCCCTCGTCGCCACCGCTGGATTCGCCTCGAAGTTCTGGTCCGAACGCACCCAGGGAGACGTCTGGGGAGTAGCCTTAGCACTACCCTTTTGGGCCTCCCCGCGCTTGACGTCCCGCCCTCGGCGGGAGCTGGTGGAAGGCGGCGGGGGTAAAACGAGGGCGGCTCCGCCGACGGAGGCGGGCGGGAGCAGAACCTGCCCCGCCGCCCCCTCCGGGGATGACAGTGCTTCCCTCCTCCCTCCTCCCTCCTCTCCTCCTCCTCCTCCTCCTCCTCCTCCTCCTCCTCCTCCTCCTCCTCCTCCTCCTCCTCCTCCTCCTCCTCCTCCTCCTCCCCTTTCTCCTCCTCCTCCTCGCGGCGCAGCGCAGTGCCTCGGTCCTGGAGCGGTCCAGAGCGCCGTGAGGCTGAGGGGTCCTGGGGAGGGATGGGCTCCGAGGTTTCTGCCCGCTCTTCGCCTCCAGGGGCCCCATCGCCAGGCCCCAGGGGCCGTCAAGAGAGAGTCGAGAAGCGAGGAGCCACCGCAGGGGCGCCCCCCAGGGCATTCAGGAACCGGTTCCCTCGGGACCCATCTTCCTCACGGCAATAGTGTGAGTGAGTGGAGAGTGTTGCTACCTCCCTCCATTCCTTCTCCGCGCCCCCTCTTCCTCAGGTGTTCCCCTCTTGCTCCATGCTCGCGTGCGCCGCCTCCTGGTATCATTCCTCCTCCTCCTCCTCGTCCTCCCCCTCTGTGACTGGCTTGCCACTTCTCGCCGTGTTCTCCTCCTCCTCTGTGACTGACTTGCCAGTTCTCGCCGTGTTCTCCTCCTCCTCCTCCTCCACCTCCTCTGCGACTGACTTGCCACTTCTCGCCGTGTTCTCCTGCTCCTCCTCCTCCTGTGTGACTGACTCGCCATTTCTCGCCGTCCCCTAGCTCCCCAGCCGCAGCCAGACATCGGCGTCACCCCAACATACTAATACTATATGTGCGTCGCCCCCCACAGGGGCGACGCGCGCACCGAGAAATCTTATAGTATATGCGTCGTGGCGGGCGCTTTCTGGCACCGCTCGGGAAACGATGTATTACAAGATGGGTGCACTATATGGTCGGGTCGGACGCGCGCCTCCATGGAGGACATGTAGTATTAGTATGTCCCTGCGCGTCCCAAGACAAGCGCAGCCTCCCCGGCCATTTTGCCCAGGACACGATGCCCTCTTCACCCACAGGTCGGTCCGGTCCGCCTGGCTGCCGCTGCGGCCGCCGATGGACGAGTTCGACTGCTACAACGAGGCCAGCCTGCGCGCCGGCCGTCGTCGCTACGCGTAAGTCGGGCCGGTCCCTCTACAGGGGGGATATTCAACAGCAGTCAGAAAATAGTGTGGGGGCGATTTTTCTTAGCATTTCTTGGTTATTGCGAAGGCCTTACGGCTGGTGCCGCCGACCCTGAGATCGACGAAGATGAAAACGAGGGGAGAGGCAGGGGGAGGAGGATGAGTGGGAGGTGGAGGAAGTTTAGGACTCTGTTGGAGGGTTCTTTGGGCGTCTCGGTGCCGATCTTGGGAGCCTGTGGGGTTGTCGGGGAACTTCGGGGAGCGAAAGAAACGAGAATGCAATAAGCTGTTGAAAACGGACGAGAATCGAAGGATTTTGCTTGTTTGGGCCTTCGTGGGATTGCGCCTGGAGGCATTTTGCGCCGTCTTGCAAGCCTATGGGGCCGTCCACAGGCTGCGAAGGCGTCTTGCACAGATCGTTTGGCGATTCAACGTTTTCTTGAGCTGTCTTGAAGGCGTCTCGGGGCAATCATCGCTCGTCCAGAAGCCTTTTTGAGCTCCGGGACCCGTCCCTGAAGGGGAACGACGGCGGCGGCGGCGGTGGTAGCGACGACGACGCTGATGTGGGTTGAGTCCTCAGGGGTGCTTCTTGGGGTCTCTTCCGAGCGCTCTCGAAGGCCTCTGGGGGGCAGTTTGGGGGCCCCTTGGGAGCCTCTTGGAGCCTCTTGGGGCTTCTTCGGGGCCTCTTGGGGGTCTCTTGGGGCTGAGGGCTCGAAATGTCCGTTCGGGTCCCCCTTCTGGGTACTCTCCTGGAGCCGTCTTGGGGGCCTCTTGGGCCGTCTTAGAGGCGTCTTTCTTGGGCCGTCTTGGGGCCTTTTTCGGCCGTTAGGAGACCGTCTTGGGGGCCTCTTGGGCTGTCTCGGGGCGATCTTGGGGGCCTCTTGGGCCGTCTTGGCGCGTCGGGACGCGGCAGAGGCAAGAACGCCAAAATCTGGCAAAAACGATGAGAAATCAATGAATGTTGCCTCTTGGGGCTCTCGTGGGTTGCTCCTGGAGGCCTCTTGGGGCGCTTTGCAGGCCTCTTGGGCCGTCTGGAGGCCGTCAAGACGTCTTGGACAGATCGTTCGGCGATTCGGGGTTCTCTTCGACTGTCTTTGGGGCCTCTTGGGGCACTCTTGGCCCGTCTTGGGGCTTTTTGGGGCTCCGGGACTCCCCGGGGGGGCGTCGTACCTGACCCCCCCCCAGACCCATTCCCGGGACCCCCCTTGGGACCCCCCCCTGGGATCCCCCCCAGGTCCCCTCCCCCCCCCCCGGCGGGGGAGGGATCGAAGGGAAGGGGCTTCCCTTCGACTCAATTACGACGTTGCTCAACTTCGCTTTGGCTGGCGCGCTGAGGAGGTCTCTGGGAAAGGGGGGAGCTTCGACGAGCCCAGGGAAAGGGGGGGCAGGGAACGGGGACGACAGAGACGACGACCAACGAATGACGGAGATGACGACTTGAACGGACAAGCCCCTCACACATGCCGAATGGGTCGGCGGATTTTTGAATATGTTTGCGAATATGTTTTACTTTTCATAGAAAATCTGCCTGTAGGGGAACATGCCCGACCTAACGCTGCGGTCGGGCCGCTGAAGCAGGAGCCCTTCTCGTCGGGGACGGGCTCAGTGTTCCTCGATTGGTTTACGGTGTCGTCTTGGGTTCTCCTTCGGTTTTCTGTGGGACGTCGAAGTTTGACTTATGGAGAAAAAAGGGGCCTCGTTCCTTTCAGGGCTCCTGACGACAGCGTTTCGATTGTATCTGCACTCTCAGATCTGGGCGTGGTGGACGCGAACGTGTCGCTTAGTCTTATGCCACAGGACCCTCATGGATGGATCCAGCCCGCAAGTTCCCCACGAGGGCGAGATCAGGGGTGTCCGGTCGTGATCCCGCGCGGCGCTGGGCTTGCAAGACGTCGAACAATCGGGCTGACACTATTCATTGCCCGTGGCGCCGTCCAGACAGTTTCCAGAACCTTGGCCGAGCCATGCCGTCACTTCCCGGAAGGCCATGGGGGAGCTGGCGAAAAACGGCGCGCGGCTCCTAGCCCGGTCGCGGCTGCCAGGGGCCGAGTGTCCTCCTCCTCCTCCTCCTCTTCCTCCTTCTCCTCCTCCTCCTCCTCCTCCTCCTCCTCCTCCTCCTCCTCCTCCTCCTCCTCCTCCTCCCTTGGGGCGGTCGCAGGCAAGCGCAGCCAGAGAAGCGTCGAGAAGGGCAAGAGTGGGTTGTTCCAAGCAGGTCTCGCCTTTCGAGGGATCCAAGGCGTTGACCTCTTGCCAGCAGCGGGGCTCGTGTCGATGTCTCCGGTTCGCTTCGATTCGATCTCGATGGTTTCCGATTCCGATTCCATTCAACTTTGGATTGCGAAGGCCTTACGGCCGGTGCCGCCGACCCTGAATGGCGACGACGACGACGACGACGACGACGACGACGACGACGACGAGCGCTCTTGGGGGCCTCTTGGGGGTAGTTTGTGGGCCTCTTGGGAAGCTCTGAGGGGCCGCTTGGAAGCCTCGTGGGGGCCTCTTGGGGCTTCCTGGGGGTCTCTTGGAGGGAGCCTGGGACGTCTTGATGGTTTCCGATTCCGATTCCATTCGACTTTGGATTCCGATTCGGGCTCCGATTTCTCAACGGAGGCCTACCAGCCTGCCGATTTCTGCCGACTCGACTCCTCCCGACTCGGTTGCCGATTTTTCCGCCGATCCAATGCATGTCGATCGCCGATCAGATTTGTCGACTCGATGCGGGGCTCTCTTGGAAGTAGAACGAGGGTGGTTTCGCTGGCGGGAACTCGGTGGAAACCCGCGCAAGTAGAAGCTTCCCCCCTCCAAGGGAGGTTGACGATGAGGTTCGCATGTGTCGACCATGTGTCGCTTCCGCCTTCGGAGAACGGCGACCCATGGCTGCTACACTCTATCGGGCGAGGCTGGTCGTGCGTGCAGCCTGCTTTTCAAATCCTTGGTGCTGCAACTCCTCGGAGGTTGAACTGGTCATCGTCCTTGCTCCCTTGGCACTGGCCCCCAGTCCCTGGCCTGGCCATTGCTGGCCCAACCTGGCGCAACTCGTCTTGCGATGACATCGCACGACTTGCGGAATGCAGCTCCATCTGTTTTTGTTAAGTCCTGCCTGGCAGTTCCTGATCTGGCCCGGCAGCGCCCAGTCCTGCCCACAGTGGGCCCTGCAGGAGCTGCCGCCCGAGCCTGCGCCAGGAGGCGCGCAGCAGCCGCGCGGCAAGCCCGCCCCTCGCAGCCCGTTCCAGCGCGGCGGCTGGGCGCTGCTGCACCGCTCCCGTGCCCCCCTCTGGTCTCCGCGAGGGCGAGGCGCTCCGAGGGAGGAGCGGGCCCTGGGGGGCCACGGGGCGCGCTCCTCCCCATCGCCAGCTCTCCCTCCCGAGCTGGCTCGGCGTTTGGCGGGGCCCGGGCTCCCGTGCGCGTGCCCGATCCTGGAGGGCCGGGCCCGTGGCGGGAGCCCGCAGGAGCGGCTGGCAGATGCCGGCCGGGGCGCAGGCACGCACCGTCGTGCCTCGCCTCGTCCTCCTCCTCGCTCGTCCCCCTCCTCCGCCTCCTCTTCGTCCTCTGCCTCGTCCTCCTCCTCCTCCTCCTCCTCCTCCTCCGCCTCCTCGTCCGCCTCCTCCTTCTCCTCCTCCTCCTCCTCCTCCTCCTCCTCCTACTCCTCCTCCTCCTCCTACCCCTCCTTACTCCCCCCTCCATCCTCCCCTCAGCTCACCGAGCGCGTTCCGCTACTCGCAGAGTGCCCACTCGCAAGCGTCCGCAAAAAGCATGCCTTCCCACACGTAATGGATCGTACATCCGCCGCGGCGGATCCAGGCCATTTGCGAGTAGTTACTCTGCGAGCAGTGACACGCGCTGGTCTATCAGCGGAGCCTCCGGTCTCGCCCTCGCCTCCAGCCGCATCCCGCCGCACCCGCCGTAAGCTGTCCATCACGCGCCACGCCCGCCCCTGCGTCTCGCTCTCCTCGGGCCTCTCTCGGGGCTCTCCCGGAGGCCCCGTGAGGCCCCTGCCTGCCCCCCTGCTTGCCCCCATCCATTTGGGGTTCTGTCCAGGGCCCCTCTTGGGCGATGTCGGGCTCCTCTTGGACTCCTCTGGGGGCCTCGTCTCGTGGGCTGTCTCGGAGGCCTCTCGGGCCGTCTTGGGCTCCATGTTGGGCAGCTTTGGGGCCCTCCGGGGAGTCCCCTTGGGCCGTATTGGGCCCGTCTCGGGCCGTCTTGGCCCACGAGGGCCTCTTGGGGGCGATCTCGGGCCGTCTTGAACGGCGTGAAGGCGGAAAAAACAAGAATGCTAGAAATGCTGGTTTTCCGCTGGGACTGGGATGATTTTGGCCTCTTGAGGCCCTTTTGGTGGTCCTCTCGGGGCCCTCTTGGGGCGTCGTTGGGGCCTGTTGGGCTGCCTTGCGGCTATCCTCTGGCGTTTTGGAGCGCTCTCGGATCCGTCCTGAGGCCGTCTCGGGCGTCTCGAAGCCGCCTGCAAGCTCGCTTCTGCTGCTGGCCACAGCGGCTCTAGCCGAGAGCCAACACGGATGGGGAGGGGAGGGGAAGTGGGCGGCGAGAGGGAAGGAGAGGTGGAGGACAGGCGTGAGATGCTCCGCGCTCTCCCTCCTCAGCCCATCACAGTCGCCTCCCCTCCAGCCTGGTATGGATTCCCACACCGCTCTGGACCAGCATGGTCATCACGAGGGCCTCGGCGCAGTGGCCAAAATATTCGACTCGCTCTCTTGGCATCGCTCGGACGTGTGGATTTTTCTCGAGGGGGAGCCATCGTAGCGAATGTGGGGTCCTCCTGCGGAAAGATTTGCGCACGAAGCCGAACAAAGCACGGGGAATGGCTGTCCGAGCGATGGCAGGCTCCGTGGGCCCCTCGCGGGATGGGGCGCCCTCCACTAAGTACCCAGCGATCACGCCGCCCCGCGCTGAGCCTCTGCGGGGGTAGGCCTGCCTCCACTCCTGGATGCCAGCGCACACCGCTGGATGGTGCTGTTACTATTAAGGGAAGAACAACCACCCCGATCCCCAGAACCGGCGTTTACGAAACAGCCCTGCCCTGTTCGATTCCGGCCCTGGGTGCGTTCATTGAACGGCTTCACGCGTCGGGGTGTTTGTCGTGGGGATGTGTTTTCTCCTGCTCTCTCCACGATGCCGCTTGGCCCCCACAACTCGGGCATTGTAACAAGCCTCCCAGCGACCAAACGCTGAGGGGCATCTGCTCGCTGATACGCGCAAGCAGCCACGCAGCGAAGGAACGTGACGTTGGCCCCACGGCGCTCCACTTCTAATATCCCTCCTCCCCCTCCTCCCTTCTCCCCTTCCTCCCCTCCTCATCCTCCATTCCCTTTTCCCTCCCCCCGCCTTCGTCATCCTTTCCCTCCCCGTACCGCTGGCACGCTCGGCATTCACAGGAGGAGGGAGGGAGACCAAGATCCGAATCTGCCCCCCTCGGAGGCGTTCATTGCCGCGAACGGCATCTCGATCCACAGCACGCGGCGCTGGTTCTTCGAGGTCAGCGACACGCAGGCCGCCGCGATCGAGATCTGGGACCTCGGGGGACGCCAACTGCCCACCTGCACCGACCGGCTCTCGCGCTCGCGCTCGCGGGGGCCACCGTGGAGGAGAGGGGTCCTTCGAAGAAGCGAACAACTGCGTACACACAAAACTCCCGACGGTCCGCGCGGATGTCTTGGGCCCGTGCTGGACCCCCCTGGCGGCGCCTTCGGCGCCGCCCCTGGCGCACTCCGCGCGCCAGGGAGGGGGGCCCAGCTCAGATCTAAGAAGTCCACGCGGACCGTGGACAGTTACAGTCGGGGCGCTGAAGAACGAACCCTTTTCGTTGGGGAGGGGCTCCGTGTTCCTTAAGTGTTTCACAGCTTGCCTCAGGTTCTCCTTAGGTCTTCGATCGGAAGTCGAAGTTCAACTTATGGAAAAAAAGGGGCCTCGTTCCTTATTTAGGGTTCCTTAGGTCAACGCCTCGACTGTACACGAGAAAACCAAACAAACACGAAGAACATGAAGGCACCCTCCCCGAACCGACCTTGATTTTACACCTCGGTCCGACTGCATGTCGTTGTTTTTATTCCTCTGGTCCTGAGGGACGGGGGCCCTTGCGGGGGGCTCTGCCGTCCCCGGCTTCGGGGGGGCCTCCCCCCCCGTCCCCCGAGGCCGTCCGAGAGAGACGGCCCGGGATGAAGAGCCAGGCACAGGGAGAGGCCCCAGGGTGTTCAGGACCGCCTCCGCCAGGATTTCGCCTCCTTCACTGCCATCGCGGCGAAGGGGGGATGCCAGGAGTGGGACACATCACCACTTGCAAGCATTCCAGCCGTTCTTTAAGACATCCCAGACCAGGCGCGAGCGGCGAACATATGTCCGTCTCCGCGCCCTCGCGGTCTGGATTCCGGGGGCGCGATCCCGCGGATACGCGGTCGCACGGGTGCGTCTTGTGCGGGGCATCGGCGACAAAAACGCACTGTGTCGGCGGGGTCGCGGCCCAGGGGCCCGGCCCGCGAGGCCGCGAGTTACGGTTCTCTGGAAGATGTCCCCCCTCCGCCCAATGCGGTGGCGTGGGAGGCCATCCGGCCCATGAAGCGGCTGCGCACCAAGGTGTCGCTTGACGAAGTGGCGCTCGCGCAAGCCTAGCCTCTGCCAGCCCCATGTATTTATGCATGCCTTTGAACTTATATTCCTGGACAGGCAATCTGCCTAGCTCGATGGGCAACATGTGTATACATACATATCTATATATAGGTGTGTGTGTACACATGCATACATACATACATACACACACACATACATACATACATACATACATACATACATACCTACATACATACATACATACATACATACATACATGCACATACATACATACATATATGCATACATACATACATACATACATGCATGCATGCAATCATGCATGCATGCATCCGTACATACACGCGTGCATACATGCATTCATGCATACATGCATGCATGCTTGCACACACATACACCATACATTCACGCATGCATGCATACATACACACATACATATATACATACATACATACATACACACATACATACACACAGATACACACACATACATACATACATACGTACATACATACATACATACGTACATACATGCATACACGCATACAGACACACACACATTCACACATACACACAGACACGCATACACACATATCTACATACACACATTCATGCATGCATGCACACATACATACATACAGGCATACATACTTACATACGTACACACGCATGCATGCATACATGCATACATACATGCATGCCTGCACATACATACATATATACCTACACACATACATACATACATATATACATACATACATACATACATACACACATACACACACACACATACATACATACATACATACATACATACATACATACATACATACATACACACACATACATACATACACACACATACACACACACATACATACATACATCCATACATACATACATACATACATGCATACACACATACATACATACATACATACATACATGCATGCATGCATGCATATACGCACTTGCATACATGCATACACACATCCATACATACATCCATATATGCATACATGCATGTATGCATACATCCATCCATACATACACACACATACGTACGTACAAATGTACATACATACCGACAGGCAGATCTCCTGCACGCGAGCCAGAGAGGTCGCCCAGGGATGGGGGTCCTCCGGGGGCCCTCCAGGGCTCTCTCTCCCAGGTGGCCCGCAGCTGGGGCGCAGGAGGGCGCCGCGCCGCCCTGCGCGCCCCGCAGCCTGGAGAGCCAGAGAGAGAGAGAGGAGGAGGAGGAGGAGGAGGAGGAGGAGGAGGAGGAGGAGGAGGAGGAGGAGGAGGAGGAGGAGGAGGAGGGAGGAGGAGGCGGAGGAGGAGGAGGAGGAGGAGGAGGAG